AACTTTACGGTTTGTTTTGCACGGGAATCAGCGGTGTTTTTCTGCGGACGGTTTCGCCCATTTTTTTCTCGTCTCACAATACACGGGGGGCGGCGGTCGAGATGATTGGGTTTGTTTTTTCTGTCGTAATTCGCGCGCGCCTGATGCGAGAGAGAGAGAGCGCGGACGGTTTTGTCGCTTGATTTCCTGCTTAGCGATTTAGTCGACCCACGTCGCTGATCTGTGATGTCATTATAAATCAGGATGTTGAAGCGGACAGATTTAGCAAAGCAAATACCGTCTCCAGTTAATCTGCATCGACACAACAATTAACATGCCCGCATAGAAGGGTAGGATCATTAATTAGAGGTTGACGCACATATAAAGGCAATCAAATGAAAGATAAAATTGAGACAACATGGAATTAGCGATATTTTTACTTGATTGCTTCGCGCGCGTTTGATTTGATGTTTAGGCGGTCGATAGCAGAAGGAAAATTGTTATTGTCGAATATCGTTGGAGGTGCTGTTTGATGTTGTGTCGAGGCAGCTTTATCGTTTTTTGCCACGTTGTAGAGAACAATGGCGTGTCATACCTCATAAAACAGTTAAATCAGTGGCACTCATAACGGCAATAATTCATGTATCGTACTTTATATATCAGTTGTTTGTTGCAAACCTACTGGTGGTGAACGGTGGTGTTAGACGTCAAATACAAAGCCAAATACACTTATATAAAACATACACCTACGGCATTACGCCACGTTTGCACACGCACGCCGCGCACACACACAAAGAGAGATTAGCGGTGAAGCACTTCCAGCAGATTTCAAGTCCGCCCATCCTCATCTCAATCTACAGCTTCCGCATCCTCGTCATCTCGTCCTCATCCTCCGCCAGTTCCTTATTCCAGTGTCCTTCTCCTCATTCCTCCTTCTCCTACTCACCCAACTTCCTTATCCCTCGACTATCATCCTCTCATTCTGCTCCCGCATCTCATTCTCCTCATTCCCAGCACTTCGTCAATTTTAGCCATAGCTGCCATATCCCTATCCATCTCCTTAACTCCATCACTCCTCATCCTCATCCTCTAGCAATCCTAACATCCTCATCCTCCTCTTCCGCTGCTCGCAGAGTGAGCAAGTGCGCGTCTCTCCTCAACATACGACACACACACACACACACACACACTTCCATTCCTCAGCATCCCAGCATACTCAGGCATCCTTATCATCCTCCAGCATCTCAGCATCCCCAGCATCCTCATCCTCATCCTCTATTTCTGGTTCAGGGAACAGTGCGCTTGCTTCCTACAGAACAAGACGGGCGAGTGGTGCGAGGCTCGCCACACAAGCGCCGGCCGCGGTCGGCTGGGTCCGGCAACTACGTGACCCCGGCGGAATCGCCTCCGAGAAGCACTCGTGGCTTTCACAGGCGCCACTCTCCCGCCCAGCGCCGCTGAAGTACCTGCTCAGGCAGGCGGCCATCACGGCCAGCTGTTCCTCCGTACGCCGAGAGCGAGAGCAGTCCGGACAGATGTCGGATATCCTGCGCTACGAAGCTTCCAGGATCTACACCTACCGCATCAAGCGAGGCAGCGACAGCAAGTACGTGTCGTTGTCGTCCACGGTCGGGGAGGAGCGGAGGTGGAGGGAGGGAGGTAGGCGGGGCAAGGGGCGGGGTGGCGGCGTGAGAGCAGGTCTTCTGAGGACCAGATGTCCCCGATCTGCATGGGCAGTCTAGTGCGGATGTCCATGAGTCTCTGAGTTGAGGTTGGTTAGAGATTGGGAGGGGGTTGGGAGGCGGCCTTGATATAGAGGATAGGTGTTGGTTGGCGGGAGGGGAGAGCAGAAGAGATAGGCCAGGTCGTTGACTGTAAGGGTGAGACAGCGGCGCCGTTGCATCTGAGGCGTGATGCCGGATACAGGGTACAGTGATCATGTAAGGGTAGTGCCGCTAGTGCAGTGCTGTATATTTAGGCTTAGAATAAGCACGGGGGGCCTTGAGTCTCCAGAGCGCGTCATCTGCCTCCTCCACCACGATATCCGCCCCGTGTGTTGCCCCCGCGTTGCTCGTTCTGCACGGCGCTGAGATCTGGTGCCTTTGCCCACCCGTCTTCGGCTCCACGGTGAGTACTGTAACACCGAGCCCTACCTCGCCCACGTCGGTAATCTCCGCCCCTTGTGTGCTTAGACCTCGCCAGCAGTTTTCGACACTACTTTTGCAGACTGAGGGCAACGTTTTCGAACACAGCAGTGGCATGCTGCTGTGTGTTGTAACCTCAGCGTTTATAGCTTGCTTGTGTTTAGTACCTCAACTGTGCTGTGCGACATTAATAGGTGTGCGGGGGTCGTGTATTGCTGTTTGTCTCTCCGGGGTGCTGTGCCCCCGCCCTGTGCATCACCCCTGCTCTGTGCCTAGTGGGCGTTGTGTGTGTGCTGTGTAGTGACTGTGTGTGTGCCGTCTGTGTGTAGTGCGTGTGTGTGTGTTGTGTGTGTGGAATGTGTGTTGTTGGTGTGTGTCATGTGTGCCTGTGTGTGTAAGCCCGCAAGCTGTGTAGGCACTCGCCGTCGGTTGAAACATCACGTCCATCGCGGCGGATGGGCGGCGTGGCGGCCCTGTGGGTGAGAGTGGCGCGGTGGGGGGTGGGGGACGGGGGGCCAATAATACAAACATATGTTTGGGGAAGATAATCCGCAACGCAAAACAACGAGTTGAACACGCGTGATTTGTCGCCGCTTGGGTAAAGCTGGATTGTACTGATGTTTTTTCTAGTTCGTGCGTGCGATACGTGTGTGGCGATGTTGTTGTCTGTGTGGCGTGCGTGCGTGCGTGCGTCTGCGTGCGTTGTGTCGCGTCGTCGTCGTGTGTGTGTTGTCCCTGCTTTGCGCACCGGCTGTAGCTCGGCGATGCCTCATTTTGTACCGCGGTCAAATTTCCTCCTGCTTATAAATTTCATCCGTTTTGGGCTCATCCGGCATTCCTCATTTCGGATGCAGGCGCTATATTCGACACCACACACACACACACACACACACACGCACGCACACCATCACCACCACCACACACACACACACACAGCAACACACACACACACACACTACATACACACACACCAACACACGCATCGACACACACACACACACACACACACACAACGCCACCGCACGCACGCACGCAACAACACACGCCGGCACACACACACACACTACACACAACACACACGCACGCCGCGCACGGCCACACACACACCCACACACACACACACAGCACGCGCGCACACACACGCACGCACGCACACACACACACACACACACACACACACACACACACACACACACACACACACACACACATACAGGGGGTTCTTTGTCAGCAGGGGGAGGATGCAACGGGAGGGTGCCGAGGGTACGGACTACACTACCGTATTCCCGTGTATCGTGATAATGATGATGATGATGATGATGATGATGATGATGATGATGATGATGATGATGATGATGATGATGGTTATGATGATGACGATGATGATGATGTAGGTGTTATTACCCGGGAAGAGGAAGTGTAGTTGCAGGGCATTCGCTTACATACCCAAACACGTGTTAGAGGATACCAGTCCTGTGTAAAACGGAAACTCCTGTGTATAGAGGACACTCCTGTGTATAGAGGACACTCTCAGAGTTCACGTTTCACTTTGCCCTCATGGTAATTATGCAGTGAATCCACCTGCGTAGAACGGACACTGGTCTGTAAAGAAATCGAGGGGGACCCGTGTGTACAGGTGTGACTCACTGTGGTGATTTTATGTTCCTGTCATAGCAGTTGGAGTAACGTGAATCTCAGTGAAATGATTATTACGTATACGTTGCCGTAATGTATCCTGTCTCAGAGACTCGTGATAGAGGGAGCCAGCCCATGCACCACAACCGTACTGGCCTCTCGAGCAATACTACCATTTCCCTTTACGAGAATCAGTGACCTCGATTGACCCCCCAGCATCACGTCGAATTAGCTTCAATCCTTGTTTGCCCGCCTCGTTTTTCGGTTCCGATTGGCACAGTCATGCGACCGGATTTGCAAATCCGTCCAGTCAACAGCCAAGGGGCACACGGGACACACGTGCTTGTAAAATCCTTAAGCCTCATCCAACCCACGTCCCGCATAGATGCAGGCTTAGCTAGAAAAAAGGGCAGCGATTGTGGTGTGGAAGAGGGGCGGCACAGCAAGGAAGCAGAGCTGTTTGCATCTCTGAGCTGGTTTAGGCAGCTGGGGTTAATGTGAAAACATCAATTCCCTCTTTTCTTTTCGGTTTTGTTCGCTTTCGCAGCGCGTGACCTGAAAGGTTTGTAGTCTGGGTCGTTATCGCCCTCCTCGCACACGTGCACGCCCGCACGCACGCACGCACGCACGCACACTCACGTAAGCCCTGATAGTAATCCTGTACGTATGTCACCGAACAGGTGGATTTTGAGAGTTATTGCACGTGTCTCTGTAAGTTTGCGTTGGTTGGCATCTGGTCTACGACGTTGATTGTAAATGTAGATATTCTGAGACTGAATTTCGGCACGGAATATTCGTACATTTAGTGCGTCAGGGTCACACTCCTCACAGTGCAGCTTAGCCGTGCCACTGCAGCTTAGCAGTGCCATCGTCGTGCATCTAACGAGCGCTGCGTGGCACCCACGCTTGATATCGTTTGATAAGCACCCTCTAACGGCCGTGTTTGTGTCGAGCGTCTGATGAGCGCCCTCTAACGGCCGTGAATGTACCCCACATGTCTGTCGTGTTTCCCTCTAACGGCCGCGTTTGTGTCGAGCGTCTGATGAGCGCCCTCTAACGGCCGCGTATGCACCTCACGCACTGTCCTTTCGCCCTCTAACGACCACATCTCCTCATCGCACACTTGCCTAGCGCCCTCTGACGGCCACGTCTCCTCCCCGCGGCCTCTGACGGCCGTACGTACACCTCGCTCACCTCACTAGCGCCCTCTAACGTCAGCACCTCCTCTCGTCTCCTCCTCAGGTGTACGTGACGTCGGACAGCCGCTTCAACACGCTCGCCGAGCTCGTGCACCATCACTCCATCTACCCGGACGGCCTCATCACGCAGCTGCTCTACCCGGCGCCGAAGAAGAATAAGCCGACGATCTACGGGCTCAGCCCCGAGCCGGACGACTGGGAGATCGAGCGCACGGAGTTCGCAATGAAGCAGCGTCTCGGCGGCGGACAGTACGGCGACGTGTACGAGGCCGTGTGGAAGCGACACAACAAGACGGTCGCCGTGAAGACGCTCAAGGTAAGAGTTTGCGATGATGCGGTTGTCACGGCGACGTGTACGAGGCCGTGTGGAAGCGACACAACAAGACGGTCGCCGTGAAGACGCTCAAGGTAAGAGTTTGCGATGATGCGGTTGTCACGGCGACGTGTGGAAACGTTGTCAAGACAAGTGAAGGTATGGCGAGCACAGTGTTCCTTAAAGCTGAAGGTAGGAGCAAGGATCCCAATGTTCCTTGGCCATTGTTTGCCAGCACTGAAAGTACGAGCCAGAGTTACTTAGTGCTGTTACTGTAGGTGTAAACCAGTTGCAATGTTTTGTGTTCCAATGTTTGCTAGTACTGAATGTATGAAGACATATGGTTGGCAATATGTGGTTTACAAGTGTATTTTTGAATTATTGATTCCTATCTGATTCTTTCAAATAGAGTTCCGAGTTAAAAAAGAGTTAGACTGAGTATTCAACTCAGTGTGTTGTGTAAAATGTGATGTTTAGACTGCTCCTCATCGGGCGGAACAGCCCCGCCGAGAGAGTGAGACAGTGTTTAGCGGTGCAGACGGCTGCTGACGGTGTCCGTCTCGTTGCAGGAGGAGTCGATGGCGCTGAAGGATTTCCTCGAGGAGGCTGCGATCATGAAGGAGATGAAGCATCCCAACCTCGTGCAGCTGCTGGGTAGGGCTTCATTCACGCTGAGCTTCATTTCTCCTCTCCACCTCGCGTGCTCGACAGGCAGGCTGTAGCCAATCGAAATTGCCATAAGGACGGTATAAAAGCAATGCTTGGCAAGTCGTTGCCACTTCGATTGAATTTAATTTAATTGAATTGAATTGGCAACGACTTGCGATGAAGTCGACATTTTTGCTTGCACCGCCTGCAAACTGAGTTAACCTGGCACACCTAGCAACAGCATCCAAAGCAGTGTCGTCATCTCACTCGGGCAGATAATTGAGTTGATTTTATTAATATAATTGATGCCTCAACAACTTTTGTAAAAGATTTTGCACATGATCCTACAGCCGTTAGTGCGTTTACAAATTTACACCATCACCCTATTTTCTAATAAAAGATTTTCATCGATCGTCATCATAATCGATCAATTAATTCCGCCACGTTCCTACACAAGTGGTGCGCGGTTGTGACTATCTCCCTGTTGGGAGAATACCGACGAAACGCCTGACCCGTGTTCTCCTTGCGGCGCGCCCGCTGCCATCTTTCCCTCCGGCAGGCGTCTGCACGAGGGAGCCACCGTTCTACATCGTCACGGAGTTCATGCAGCACGGCAACTTGCTCGACTACCTGCGCTCGACGAACAAGGACGACCTGTCGGCGGTGACGCTCATGTACATGGCGTCGCAGGTTGCCGCGGCGATGGAGTATCTCGAGTCACGCAACTTCATACACAGGTACGGTTGTTATACACAGGTGCGGTTGTTATACACAGGTGCGGTTGTTATACACAGGTGCGGTTGTTATACACAGGTGCGGTTGTTATACACAGGTGCGGTTGTTATGCACAG